CCCAGGGTGACTCTACAAAAACAAACAAGAACCAGAAAGGTGTTTCTAGTGGAACTGAAGTGGGCTTATCTTCTTCAGGGTCCTTGGTACTGTACAGCATTTCTAAACACGTGATTGGATGTGTGTGTGTGTGCACGCGCGTGCGTGTGCATGGCATGGCACACTCTGCACAGTCAGTCCTCTCCTACCTTTACACGGGTTCCGGGGATCAAACTGAGATCACCAGGATAGCACGGCAAGTGCTCTCTACCCGTGGGGCCATCTCAGTGGCCCATGTGTGACATCTTAAAAAGTAACAGAAAAGTCACAAGAAAGATAAAGGCTTAGGTCAGAAGTTTGCTGCCAGATTTGTCTGTGACCCACCCTCCCATTCTCAAATCTATCTGGATACGAACGCGGCCATGGCCAAAAAGAATGTGACACTGGGCTCTGCCACTCACAACCAGCTGTTGGTGGCACATACTTACATTCCCGGAGAACTCACAGCCCCAAAACCCTGTACCTCAAAGGCAGAGCCCTACAGAGGGGTGGTGGTTCAGCTTATGGCCAGCAGGGGTCCTGCTGGGCTCTGCCAGGGCTCTCTGCCACCGCCTCTCACCACTGCCAGCCTTGCCTCATCTGCTCTGATTTCATTTGTCTCTGTCCTTCCAGGGTTCCTTCATGCCTGTGGCATCCCCGGCCTAGGGCTATTTCTCACTGTGGAGGGGCTCTTGTTCACGACCTATTAAAGCAGAATCCCCAAGGCGAGGCAGAAGGAAGCACGCATTCCACGCCAAGGTCTGTGGTACACACCACTGCTCATTTGGACCCTTGCACCCGGAAACTCCAGGCCACATAGAAGAGACCGTTCAGAGTGGCGGAGGCATCCATTCGGACTCTTGCCCTGTCTTTTCGGTCAGAGCTCCTAACTGTGCTATTGCACCCATCGTGAACCAGAGCTGGTAACCAGTAACTCAGCTTCCCACCAAGGGAGCCACGAGTCAGTGCAGCGGGGCTGCATCCAGGAAGATCAGGTTGAGAAGGCAGGGTGACCCAAGTCCAGTCTCACAATGACCTCTGGGGGAAACAAATTCAGCCAGGAATCTCCAGGGTCACATGGCTGCCAAAAGCGGGCATGCAAACCCAGGGTGGACTTAAAAGAACCAGGCAAAAATTCCAGCACCCACTTCTACACGGCTGGACCGGAGCTAGGGGCTGTTATGTTTCCTATCTGCCAGGGCAGACCACGAGTGTGGGTTATAGGTGCTAGCGTCCAGGGTGGTGCACACCGGCTACCTAGCTGCCAGAGGTACCAGTGGTGTCTGGCACAGACACTCCTAAAACCAAAGGCTACTGGGGCCTTTAAATGGATCAGATTGTCAGGTGTCTCGGCAGGGGCCGGAACCCGCCACCCCTCCCGAAGTTTGCACCTGGATATGTCCGTGAGACTCCTGCTGAGGAGTGACCGGTGGTGGCTGTGCTGTCCGGATGTCACAGGCCAAGGAAAGACCACTCAGGAGGGAACCACACGGGTAGAATAAAAGGTGACAAGCAGATGGGTACCGGGTGACATAGTGTCCAGAGAGGTGACAGTGTGAATTCTGAGGTGGACTCACAACAAAGGGTGGCCTTTACAGGAGAAAACTTTCACACCCACGATGAAGAAGGACTGTGTGCTGAGCTGTCCAAAGACACGAGGCTTGCTGGGAGAGGTAATGACTTTCCCATCAATGGACACATTCAACTGCACCAAGGCGGAAGGTCACACATCAAGGACGCTAGGATTCACCCTCCGGGATAACTGGAGCATGAAGCCCTTCACGATTGAGGCCCAAGGGAACTCTTCAGGCTGGTAATTTCCCCTACGACCTTGTGTCTGATCCTCAGCACAGGTCACCCCCATGCCAGCCCCCCTTTGCATCTGCTCTCCCTCTGGACCTCCATGACATCCCACCGTGGGAATGTAATTCACTCTGATTCAGCTCTGCTGCCCCCCATACACACTTTGAAATAACTCTTCCCTTACCCACATAGTCCAGAACGTCCCTGTAGGAGGTTTTGTTTCCTCCTCAGTGAACCAAGTGTGACTAACACCCCACTCCCCTTGAAGGATACATCGTTGGTAGAAATATTTTAATTTCCTTTGGGGTTGTTTTGATATAAGAAAATTTCAGAACTCTCTAAATACTACTTTGGAGACAGTACTTTGTTCTATTTTGTGTTTTATGTGCTTGAATATTTTGCCTGTGTGTAGTGCCTGCTGCGGCCAGAAGAGGGCGCCATATCCTCTCTAGCTGGAGCTAGATTGTCAGGCACCAACTCCTGGATGCTCCCCTGGGAGCATCTGGATCCTTTGGAAGAGCAACTAATTCTCTTAATCACTGAGCCATCTTTCTAGGTCCTTTTTTTTGTTTTTTTTTTTTTTTTCTCTCTCTCTCTCTCTCTCTCTCTCTCTCTCTCTCTCTCTCTCTCTCTCTCTCTTTCTCTCCCTCTCTGTGTGTGTGTTTTAATGAATCACTTGCTCTAATAAACAAAGGCAGGCAAATAACTAAGCAGTTTCACTGTATCCCTCAGCAAGGCCCTAGTACAGTCTGGAGATTCTGCTGACCTGTAATTTCTATAGATTCTCGAGGGAAACTGGGCAGGAGGAGAAACCACAGGACCGAATTGCTGGGTCCCCGAGGCCTGGAGAATGGGGGTATCCTAGCCTGCTGGGAATAGAGCATCTAAGAGACAAGCATGTCTAGAAGCCTGGGTAAAAGCCACTTCCTCCGGCGGTAGGCACGGACTGCAGAGGGAACACAGCTCTTCCGAAATGCGCAGCATTTCTGCCATAGATGAGGGTGAGTTCTCCTTGGGCAAGGGTTGCGCTTGCATGCAACAAAGCAGGAACCATGCAGTCCTGACAGGAAACTGGACAGAAGCAGCCATCTAAGACGGGCAATGTGTGCCCATGCACACAGTGGCGCGGTTCCTGCCAGATTCCCAGGCAACTTTCTGCTTAAGCCATTGACACGGAATTTCTGATGTTATAACATTCAAGGACAAATAAAAAGTAAATTAGAATGGATTAAAAAATAAAGAGGGCAGAAAGACACTTCTCTCTAAAGTCTGTCACACACCGACAACGGAGAGCTGAAGTCCTGTTTGTAGTTGAGCCTCTTGCTCTGGGTCCCATTCTGGGTTTCAGAAGAGATCCACAGCTAACTACTGGGCTGCGCTCCCGGAGCACAATGGAAGAGAGGGAGGAGCTATAACATGAACAAAGGCGTCAAGACCATGAACCTGAGCTAGTGGGAGCTCACTGACCCTCACTGACAACTGGGGAACCTGCTTAGGACTGAACTAGGCAACCTGAGTGCAGGGGACAATGGTGGGGCTTGGGCACTCTGGAGCCACAGGCAGTGGGACCAGGATCTAACCCTAAAGCATGAACTGACTTTGTGGAGACCTTTCTCTATGGAGAGACACCTTGTTCAACCCAAGCACGGTGTGTGTGTGTGTGTGTGTGTGTGTGTGTGTGTGTGTTCGTGCTTGGTCCAGCCTCAATGAGGTGATGGGACAGATTTAGTTGATTTTCTAAGGGAGGCCTTACCCTCTCTGAGGAGCGGGTGGAGGGAAGGTGGGGTGAGCGGAAGGAGAGGAGAGGGGGGGACTGGGATTAGTATGTAAAAATAAATAAATAAATAAAATTTTAAAAGGAGAAAATTCTCAATATCTGTTCTATCTTTTTAAGGCTTATTTATTTATTTATTATGCATACAGCACTTTGCCTGCATGTATGCCTGCAGGCCAGAAGAGGGCATCAGATCTCATTAAAGATGATTGTGAGCTGCCATGTGGTTTCTGGGAATTAAACTCAGGACCTCTGGAGGAGCACCTAGTGCTCTTAACTGCCATGCCATCTCTCCAGCCCTCAATGTCTGTTCTAAAGACATGTATGAGCATAGGAAAGACCAAGCATCTTGCTATAGAGACTTAGCATTTAACTTGACTGTTGACTTACTTTCCTCAAATATGACCAGGAGAAGTGTTTCTTCTTTTGTAGCAGCAGAGCTATGGAATTCCCTCTGGAACAGGCCAGATCTGCTGAGTGTGGCTACACACACCTAGACCCAGCATGCACAGGCTAAAGAGGGAAGATCCTTGAAGCGAGGAATTGGAAACCAGCCTGGGCCACATGGTAAGATGTGTCTCCAAAATCCCAAATATTTGTTTGTTTAGTCTGCTTATTTCACAATTCTTCTAAATCACACAGCAGTTCAGGGATGCCTAGGGTATTCTCTTAAGGTGTAAACATAAAAAAAAAACAAAAACAAAAAAACCCCAAACAAATGGTCACAAGGACTCTTGAAGCTTCTTGCCAAACACACTAATCTGTATTTAACCACAACACCACAATCACACACACACACACACACACACACACACTACACCCGGACAGACATTTTCAGAATAGCTGGCGAGTGGTCCCTCAGTATCAAGACCATGACTAAGGCGATGAAGACTTGCTGCTGCTGAGAGCAGACTAAGAGACGCATCAACTAAATGCAACGGTGGTGGCAGGGGCTAAATCATTGACTGTATAAAAGATCCCATCAGTGGGTCACTCAGCGAAGGCTAGACAGGTCTGCAGCTTGGTTATCAGCACCATTTCCATGGCACTACGATTTAAATGATGCAAATGGCTAAGGAAGTTGAGTGCGGAGAAAGCTGGGTGTCCTTTGTTTTTGCAATTTTTAGGAAATTCTGAAAGTGTTTCAAATAAAGGGTTTATTTCTTAATTTTCGCAGCCACTGGGGACCATGTGTATACCAGGTTAGTGCTCTACCCCTGTGCTACAACCCCAGCACATCAAAGGGGTTTACAAGACAGGAGCTCTCTGCCCTGGGAGGCCTGGGAAGGCCTGGCTTCTGAGCACTCCCCGAGGGCCGGCAGGTGTTGAGGACAGTCAGGAGCCACCTGGGAAAAGTCACCGACCTCTTCCTCAAGGCCACCTACCTCTTCCTTTAGTGGCTTACCTTGTCACATTGTTTCTGTCACAGACACTTAGAGTTTTTCCTGGGAGCTGCGACAGGGGTCTGAGACGGGCAGCCAACATCATGTCACCAAGTAGTAGGGCAGTCTGCTTCCTTCTGGTGGTTCTGAAACACAAAAATGCATGCTCAACCTCTTGCCCTCAGAAGTTTAGTCAGGAAAGTCCACTTTCTGACAAGGCACTGCTCAAGCTAAAGCTTCAGGAGATGGAAAACGGGGAGTCAGGGTGTACCAACATAGGACAACCATGGATGGGTGGTCCCCTATGCGTAACAGACAACACTGAACTAGACCAGTGATCCTCCAGGCAGGCTGTACAAAAACTACTGGGGGAACTGACTTGGGGACATAACCAGGGGAAGGAATATCTAACCTTGTGACAAGGCAAAATGACCTCATCTGTAAAGTTCATGCTCAAGAACTGTGCATTTGGAGATGTCCCCAGCTAGTACCTTGAGCAACTGAGGAGAGGGAATCAGAAATGACCCTATCCTATAGCCATACTGATGAATATCTTACATATCACCTTAGAACCTTCATCTGGCGATGGATCGAGATAGAGACAGAGACCCATATTGGAGCACCGGACTAAGCTCTTAAGACCCAAATGAGGAGCAGAAGGAGAGAGAACATGAGCAAGGAAGTCAGGTCCACGAGGGGTGCACCCACCCACTGTGACAGTGGAACTGATCTAATGGGGGCTCACCAAGGCCAGCGGGACTGGGACTGAATAAGCATGGGATGAAACCGGACTCCCTGAACGTGGTGGACACTGAAGGCTGATGAGAAGCCAAGGACAATGGCACTAGGTTTCGATCCTAATATAGAAACTGGCTTTGTGGGAGCCTAGCCTGTTTGGATGCTCACCTTCCTGGTCCTGGATAGAAGTGGGAGGACCTTGGACT